AACACTAAGTGCGCTTAAGTATTTAGTAACGCTTAGCTAAACTTTTGGTAACAATCTGTAATTATGGTAAAGGTCAGTTTCACGTGTATCCGTCTTAAAATCAGATTCATATTGAAAATATATCAAATTTAAAGTAAGTATGTTATGGTAACTAGTAACACTTACTTCGAAGGGGAATCATTAATAAAACATTTAACATAATTCAATTATTTTCTTTTAGCAGTTGTCAATATAATACCTTTTGAATGTCGTTTCGCCTGTAATTGAGATTCCATTTAGTTTAAGATACTCTGTACTTATTAATGTTTTAAGCTTGTTTTGATGTGTATCTTGTTGGTGAAGTAAATAAATAAAATTAAAATAAATTAAACTATTAAGGCTGTCGTGGTTGCTGATCTGATTCAACTAAACACTACTATTGATTAGCTTAAATGTAGAACAGTCTGGACACAACGAAATGGACGATGTACAAAGGGATTTTTTACGTAAGAAGTTGACAAGCGAGCTGGAGATGATCACCTGATGTTAAGCGATGACCGCCACTCATAGAAATTTGAACGTAGGATTGAAGATGCGTTGGCACCTTTTAATAAAGTACGAGGAACGCAGTGATTGATGCCCGTCAACATCTCTGCCTGTCAGCACCACACACAGTTAGTGCCACAACAAAGACCCTAGTTCCATTATAACGCGCACACTAGGTACATCCTCGTTCCAGGGCGGCTCCCAACCACTGATTAGTTAAACAGGGTCTGGCAACGGGTCTTCGATGTTGCACGATTGGGCAGCTCCGGGTAAGTACTTGAGGTAGTGGTACCACCCCACAGAAGACCGATGTGAAGTAGGAGTGTTACAATTCTGCGTTTCGTCTGGTGAGTGGGGTAGCCGGGGCCAACTTTATTATAAGATAACAACGCATATACAACCCTACGGATATTGCAGATGTCAATGAGCGGCGGTTATAATTTCACATCAGGTGAACTGTCAACTCCCTTACTACCTTCTCACATAAAGAAAAAAAACAGTCAACAGGGTCACGATCCACTCCGAATCTCGATGCTCTTAGGGACATTCATTCGCAAACTCCTTGGTGTAAATAATTGTGTGGAAGATAAGCAGGGAACTAGGTGTTTAAGGATTTATATTATTTATGCAGATGACACCGTTTAGGTAGATTTGCGGGCCTAGGTCGCCACAAGTCCTGATACGGTTTGCCGGATTTTGCGTACCGTCAAATATTTTTACAATATGTATTTGAATAAACATTGTGTGTTTTTCTCTGATAAAAAGTAAAAAAGTAGAGTAACAGCTAGGCAAAGGACTACTAACTGGTGTTTTACTTCACCGGTGAGCACGTGGTAAGTTAGCAATAAATATACAAATTCATTGGAGCCTGCACCGGGATTTCAACTCGAGTACATAAAATGACGAGCTTGCTATTTATGATTAGTAAAAATATTCGGCAACGTCTTATTTGTTAAGTAGGAAATGATCCTCCATATGCCTTATCACGAACTCACTTTTATAGCCCGGAAAGTCTACAACGAGGCTACGCGTGACAGGCCGCCATGACTCAACTATTGCTGGAACAACGAATTATTATTTGGTTATATTGTAAATAAAAACACCAAGGTAATAGATCTAAAAGTAAAAGAGAAAGATGGCTCGATTTCCACTCGGTTTGTACCAAAAAACGACAAAACTTTTATCGTTAATTCTTTTCGGATTAGCTTCATAAAACCGACTTCAAATGACGTCGACATGGACGTCATTATATATATATCAATATAATAGCGATTGAACAAAACATTGAAAGTTATTACGGTCCCGTACCCGAAGGGTAATACGGAACACTATTACTAAGACTACGCTGTCTGTCCGTCTGTCCGTCTGTCACCAGGCTGTATCTCGTGAAGCGTGACAGCTAGATAGTTGAAATTTTCACACTTGATGTATTTCTGTGGCTGCTATAACAACAAATACTAACAAATAGAATAGAAAATTATTTTTGCCGTTTTATACATAATGGTACGGAACCATTCGTGCGCGAGTCCGACTTGCACTTGGCCAGTTTTGTATTTTCAGAGAAGTTTATAAGATTCCGCTTACTTTATTTGTTAATCGAAATATTAGACGGATTGAAAGCCAGAACATTTCGAATTCTGATCGACTAACCGTAAAGAAATATTAATACAATAGCAATTAATATGAATCACGAAAAGTAGAAATAATGCAATTATATAATTAACCAAATAACGTGAACCTTTTAAAAGGTAATAAAATTGTTATAATTATATTTGTCTAAGAGAACGAAGCCACTACAAATCGTGCGTACATAATGTTTGTAAAATGACGTTTGTGTAATAAAACAGTGGGCGTTTAGCTGAACCTTGAAAATATTTCGGAGTTGAATGATTACCTAAGTACAATATTTAAATGAAAGCGTCGGTTCATAATTCTTATATATCATTTAGATTATTGATAAGAAAATTTATACAATCCAGACACATACATTTCCCCTACGCCTCTTTATTACGCGTTGTTAGTCGAACTGTTCATCCTTCGTTAACAGAGGGCGCGGTGATGAAACGTAACGAATGGCATCATCGTGACGTCACCAGCTATGTCGTTCTACTGTGTCCGCAGATTAGCTCTCTGTGGATCTCTACCGCCGAAGTTGTCAAAGCCGGACTAACACCAAACTACACTGCCACAAAATAAATTCCTCTTCCGCATCCATTTAGCGACAATCAATGAAACGCTTTACCCAGTCACTTAGCATATCGCCAATATGATGGATACATCTTCTTAGATCATACTCTACGAGATTTTCCTGTCCCCACCATTAATTCTTCTCCGTTAGTCCTTCATTTATCCTTCTACCGTTAAACTCTCGTATATTATGTTTGGATCATAAAGCCAGTTCTAAATCCCTGGCGAATCTGAGTATTGTTGGCTCAAAACAGTTTAATGATGGATTTAAACCATTCCAGAATCTTTAGGAAATGCAAATCTATCAATACCGGATATTAATAAGGTACTAATTACTTGTTTCTACAGGGACAAAGCCTTAATTAAAATTTACACTAACTAGACTTGAAATCTGTGATTTATGAAGAAATAAAACATGTCTTACTTTCAACCAATTAAAAACTAGTACTTGACCAACAATACTTGACAAATAATATTTTGTCCAAATACCTAACGTAAAACAGATTAATTATTATAAGTAAATGGTCATTTTAATTGATGTCGCGTGTTGACTGAAATCACGCTTGAACCGCCATGCCAAGGACGCATATGATATTTGTCGTTGCATCGTTTTTATGAGATACAATCATTGATAATTGCTTTAAACACAGGCAATGTTTTCCCAGTACTTTGTAATGAAGGTCTTGCGTCGCGCGATGAACGACCTTCCATATCTGAAGTTTTACGTGACTTTCAAATATATTTGGGTGGCCAGTTAACGAATAGTTAAGTTTGAGCAACTCGCCTGTTCAGAAATACGTTCAAGAGCTGCGCCCAGTAATGATTGTATGTGATTTGATGTAGACGAACGGGGCCGTGAACGGAGTCTAAACGGCAAAATTCTTAAAAGCCAAGGTCAAGAAGTCAATACGGCAAGTCTTAAAAGCTCTGGTAAAAGTTTCCACTGGTACTGATTAACTATCGAGCGAATATGCCAGTTTGTAACGTTAGACTCCCAACACATAATAATACTGGCAAACCCAAACATTTTCTTTGCACTACATGCAATTTTATCCGCGCAGCATGATTCTTATGACATCACAACAATCATTGTCACATTTCTTTCAGTAATTCACGCAAGACCCTAATTAATTACGCGCCTAAGCCTTCTTCGTGAATGAAACCGCCTGTCTCTATAATTTAAGAGGCCCTAGTCGGTGCAAAATCCATGCTAATTCAGTTGTACAACTCCCTCGCATTTTTCTATTTTCAAAGCCGTTTCCTTTACCTCTCTATACTACTTAACATTTATCTTCTTGTTAATTTCTGGTACATAGCTTGTCTTTGGTCTCCGTGTACCCCGCTTTACTTCTACCTGTCCCTCCATGATGTACGCCAATCAGCCTATAAGTATGTAATCGATCCGATGAAAATCTAAGCAGCTTTGAGTTTTATTATTCTAGCTAATTAATTTCTACAAACAAAGCGTTTATAAAACTTAATCAAGAAATTTAGTAACGTTGCCCTTGAAAAATATTGTATTACCATTATTTTTTGTCGTGAAAAAATTATACAAAAAAAATTATCATTATCGTCAAATAAATAAATAAATTAAAAAAAAAAATTTTATGTAAGTTGCCAAAAGAGCAGACGGTTCACCTGATGTTAAGTGAAAACCACCGCCCATGGACATCTGCTACACCCGAGGGTTACAGATGCGTTGACAACCTCTTGAAAAATTGGGCTCCGGCTACCTCACTCACCAGACGAAACGCGAAAGTATTTGTCATACTTCCACTTTACGCTGGTCTTCTGTGAGGTCGTGGAACTTACCCGGACGGGCCTGCCCATTCGTGCAACAGCCGAGGTTGCTGCTTGGCCTTACCACTGTTAGACATACATGTTTTATTATATCTCTAATGCAATATTTTGGTTAAATCAATATATTTTTATACAAGTTTGATATAAAAGTGAGACACACTTTACAAGTGCCGATTTGACTGTACCAAGGCTATTTTAACAGCTACTACACATCCACCATTATTTTGCGCGGCCTATAATAGACTGCTTATCTATCTCAATCCGTTTTTTTTTTCTTTCATTGTAGACTACCACTGCCCTAGGATATCTTCCTTTATGTACACAAGCATCCAAATCGAAAATACATATCCGATGAAGTTCCTGGTCATGCAAGTTTAGGCCCTGTAGGGCGAAAGCCATCAACAATTAATCTGACATGTACATCACACATTCACATCATTTGATAGGTTTTTAATGGCTGATGTAAAAAGCTTATATGGCATCCTCAGGCACCAAGGTCATCTCCAGGCGTGCAAGCGGTGGTGAACCTTCAAGAAGACAATCAGTCTGGTGTGTCTGGCACTCTTATTTTCACTCAGATAGTTCCCTATGGACCTGTCACAATTGTGGGGAACATAACTGGACTGTCCGCTGGGCTTCATGGCATCCATGTCCACCAGGCTGGTGCTATCAATTACAACTGCATGGAGATCGGTCCCCACTTCAATTCTTATTATGTAAGTACTACCAATAGTTTCATTTGCACAGATTAAAAATAGGCACGGGGAAACTTTTAGAAATCTATGGTTAGAGCAAGAGTCGTTTCATAGACTTATAATTTTAATGTTGTCAGTGTAGAAACAAAATTAGAAATTTTACCTCATTACAATGGTTTTTTTGTGAAATAATGTAGTAAAGAAGTAGCCTAAATTAAGTATTTATTTTTCATTAGAACTCAGGTCGCTCGAGTAAATTGAATTAAAGGCGAGAGCCCGAACACTGAGCTATCACGACTATAGGATATAGGAAGTAGCACAAATGGTACATTCAAAACATACTTTGCTACTGACAATACTTTCAAACATATATGGATATTCCCAGGGCCGGCACGGCGGGCCTCGTGACTACTTCCGTCACGTCGGCGATTTGGGAAACATAAAAGCCGAAGAAGGCCAAACGGTCGATGTCAAGATCATCGATCATCTCATCACGTTAACTGGACCACGGTCAATCGTCGGCAGGTCCCTAGCAATCAGCAGCGGGGAAGATGATTATGGAATGGCTGGCACAGAGGATAGTGCATTGACTGGCACCTCAGGCCCACCTGTGGCCTGTGGCATTATCGGCTATTACTACAATTACTACTAAGCAACATGAATAATTAAATTTTATAATGGTAACCTATTTGTTAAGTTAATTATAAAAACGTGTGAAAAATCTAATTCCACTGTGAGATGGTTCATAATTTTAGGAAAAACACCAAGGAACCCAACAGTATAAGTTCCACCAAAAAAGTTTTCAGAGCATAATATATGGTATAAATGATACGGTATAAATGATAATAAACAATACGTGTTTCGATTTCATAATGTTTTTTTTTATTTCACAGGCAGTATATAAAATTAACAAAGTATACCAGAATACAAAAAAGAAAACGAATAAATAATAGCACCCCTATTATTTGTGCCCGAAACGAAGTTTGACTTAAAATATTGTGATGAATATTACACCTTTTACCTAAACCTAAACAAAACAGAATGAATTCACAAACCGGACGGCATGCTGACAGTAAAACGTACAATCTGTGAAAAATAATTCTCATAGCATAAAAATATTAACACATTTTTTTATGTTTAATAATAAAAAAAAGAAGTCTTATGATAATCTCTTAATAAAAATTGTTGACTTGAAAAATGTTTTAAAAATATTTCATTTATAAAACGGAAGACTAATTATTTTTTAACCGGTGTGGCCATTTCCAAAAAATTAATACGAAGACATGATTTTTTTTTAAATTGTTTAGTGCACAACACGCGTCAGCCTAAATCAGTCACATTTCGCGCTGTTCGGCCATTACTGCAGCCCGATCGACGCGATTAGACTCTCGACTTTCGCGATGTAGGCCTTTTGCGCGTCCTCCTTGGACATGCCGCTCTTCTTGTGCCACGCGTCGAACTTCGCCTTGCCTTTCAGGTCGAACATGCCGGGCCTGTCTGCGGAAATGGGAAATTATTAAACTTTTAAATAAATGTAAACTACATTTCAACCAACGTAGGTTACATAACGCCTCGGGTAATTGACATATAAAATAATTATGAATGTTGTAACATTATTAAAAAATACTGCTTATCAATTTGTCTCCTTTTGCTGTGCTCTACTTGTAGAGAACTTACTACCTTGTAGAGAATAACAATAACAAAATAGGTTCATGTATTGCGTTCACTCCATTAAAATATAGTGGTTTATTTTTTCATTATTTCTTTATTATACTCACTTCAAGTGTCACCATCGTCGAACGGTAAGTTCGATATATAATAAATTAAATATTTTTCTCAGTGACTTTCGTAAACGAGGCATATTAAAGCGGTCAGTCACCCGAGAACCACTTCGCGTAACATAAATTAACATAGCTATACAGACATTGTTCGTACTTTCTTAGCGTATTTTAAGGAATTTATTTTTTATAAATCGTTAATCTAAATTCAACAGGTTGTATATATATTAAGAGCAAAGAGCGTTTTATATTCATACGAAATATATTATTTAACGGTTTATATATACGAATATACAGGGAGATTTTTTTAGAAGTGTCCAAATTTACACAGGAGGTTCAGACTCTGTAGTATAATCGTTTATTGAAGTAAAAAAGTCTTTTTTTCAAAAAAATGCCATTCTATTCCCAAATGCGGTAGTCATTCATAAATATCTAAATTTTACTGTGCACGAACTTGTGTGCGTTTTAGTTATGAATGATCGCGCGTAAAATAAATGAGTTGCGTATAAATCACGCACTTTTTGAGATAAGTTCAAATTAATGTAATTAATTGCTTAAGAGTGATTTTAAATATTTATCATTTTTATATAGCATTTTTTATGTCTAGAATTTAATAGAAAAAAATGGATGCACTTAGAAAAGCCACCCTGTATGTGCGTAAAAGTAGCATTCTATTTATTATGAATAGGGTGAATGGGGGGGGGGGGGGGGATGAAAAACGGGGTAACACAGAAAGACATCAATAAAGACAGATTTTGTGTAATTTATCCAATGCTGTCTGCATTATATTCCTAAGACCATCATTTTGTTACGTCCTCAGGCGGCACTTTTCGTTTTGAGGGATCGTTTATGTGTTATAAGGGAATATCTACGCTGCGAATTTTACGCGAACAAGTCTGGTGTTTCAATTTTACCCCGTGTCGTGTAACTTCATTTACGAGGTAGGTTCGAGTTTTTTATTTGTAGACATACTTATTATTTTTAATTGGTAGTTATGTTGCTATGTCTAAATATCGCTACTTTAAATTATCGCTAATTTTAAATATCTTTACCCGCCAATTTTGGACGGGGTAAGATAAACATTAAAAGTTTCCGTTTATTTTTGTACATGTACGTAATTGTGTTTAAAATTATCCTGGCATTAACAATAAAAGATTTTATATGATTGGATATCTTTCATTTTCTGGGCAAAAATTTCAAATAGTACATCTCGTTTTTCAAGCTAGCAAAAAATTTTAATCGATAGAGAAATGTTAAAAATGAAATATTATATAAGTTATACTTACATTATATAACCGTTAAATATTATACAACCGCTCGATCTTCCCCCCCACTTACCCTAGTTAGAAACCTTGGCTAAGTTAAAAAACAAAAGATAAAAATTTACTGTTTCAAATTCATTCAATGACTCAATAATTTTCACAGACAAAGCTACGTTTGGCAATGTCTATTTGCATGTGATACATATTAATGAATAAATAATATAGTGATAAGTAAATTTATTTCCAATAACGCATTCCTATTCAAAACTATTTATTTATAAAAATTACAATATTTTATAACATTACATATTTTTAGATTGTGCATAATTTCTACACAAAAATAAATTCATGGTCTTCTTAAAGCGGGAAGCGGGAAGAATATGGACGACGCATATCCATACTGCGGTGAGTGGCATTTAAAAATTGAGCCGCTTTACGGTATATGACATATGGTAGTAACAATAAGTATGAATGTGACAGATGATTACTGTATGTATGATACGAAAGACAACATAGCCTTTTACATAATTACACCAAATTGTGTATCCGGTAATCTGTTGTACATATAATAGTTTGACAACAAAACGATATTGTTTAATTTCTATAACCATAAGATGTGTTTGGAAATTTGGGAGGATTTTCGATTTATTTTTATGAAACAGAGTATTTATGCATATCCCATATGTAATACTTTAACTGTCCATACTGATCGCATTTGGTGTAACATGGTATTTATCAAAACAAATAAAATGACAGTGTTGTGTTTTCACTGCACTCAAAAAGTATCGTGTCTTCGTCGTTATTACGATTCATATCTGTTTGAACTCTACAATTAACATATGAAAGATAAATGCACTCGAATACAAACATTTAAAATAACATTATCTGAAATAATACGTCGAGGCCAACATCCAAGAAAATATTTGAATCATTTACAGAACCATACTCATGCGTAGTGAAGGAAAATATCATTTTAGATAAACGGTGAAATGGTTACTTTTCACAATCAACAATCATGATCAAGAACTTATAAACAAACCAATGAAATCAATTGTTTATAAGATTAGCAATATATAGTTCAACAAAAAATTCTTGTATAGTAAATAAAATATTGCAATGCGAGTTGTGTTGCAATAAATAGATAAAATCATGGCATATTTTGACAATGATTAAGTGAATGTGATAAATAGTTGCTGTATCGATTTTACTATCTTTACAGATTGTGAGTAATAGATAAATGATAATGTGTACGCATTAGATTTACTTTGTATCATGAAAACTAGAATCCTTGAATATTAAGTTAGAGAAAAAAAAGTGAACATTGCTATATCCACCGAAATAGGATGAGCATATACCAACCAATTTAACTCAATCAGTCATTTGAACTGTATTCAAAGAGCCATATGATTTATCGCCTTATCTATCAGGAAAAAGAAAGTAACAAGAGGTTGACACATGTAACAAACCAGAATCTTATTTATTGTATTAATTTATTCATGTTTGTGTAGTATTTGATAGTAACAATAACCTAAGGATAGAATTTGCTATTGTTACTATCTGTAAGATAAGTTTGCAACACCTATACTCAGTTTGCTACCTTGACATTTCTTGAAATGAGTGAAAAGATAAGGAAATGCATAAATACGAAATATTTATTACTGTTATTTAATTATTGTTTCACCATTAATAGAAACTATTAATTATGTAAGTACTTAATGATTTAAAAGCCAATTGCCATTATTTACCAGTGAATCACTGAAAAAAGTTATAGATAGTGATATGGAGAATGGAGAAATAGAAGTATCTTAGTTTGTAATATCTGAAAGAAGATGGATCATGCCAACTAAAAATATATATACAAGGGTTACATTTACCTTTGTTTATACATATTGTTAGTTTTGTCTAGATGAAACATTTTCTCATAATTGGAAGGCATAATTCAATCTCGAGTCTACCTTTTAAGGAGACTAACAGTTCAAATCTTTTCCTTGTACAGATTTCTTTCAAAAACAGGAAAATCAAATAGAGGATATACTTATACAGGATGTACACAATACTAGGGTGACATAGATATTAAGGAAATCCTTGATTATAATTCCAGGGTGATCACATAAGATTTTACAATAGCCAAAAAGGCAAAATATATAGAAAAGTCATCTGAACATACCTACATATTATTTAACAATAATTAACACCAGTTTCAATTAGTTCAAGTACATAAGACAATCAAAACATACTAATTAAATATTTTAAAATTGTCTAATGAATTAAATAGTTTAAATAAAAAAAAATTAAGTATTCTCTAGAAAAATAATACTGAAAAGCTAGACAATGAATTAATATAATTTGTCATGTAATACTTACTGGCAGGGTCCGCATCTCCAACTGTAGCTTGCTTGAAAAGGGCATACAATTCAAGCAAATCACCATCGCTGGGAAGGGATTTAAGATTCCTTACATTGGCAGCAGCCTGGTCAAATTGCTGAAATAATCAAAATAAACCATTGTGCAAAACAATATTATTAAAATAAGGTAATTTATTTTATAGAATTAGTTGATTCAAAAGTTATAAGCAAGAATGTATAAATTTATTGACTAAATTGTAATAAAATGCTAATAAGGAAAGTAATCCGTTAAAATGCATACTTTGTAATTGTGATAAAGATTAAGTTACTAGTATTCATGCAAGCGAAAGCGTGAAAATTAGTTATGTACCAGTGAAAGCTTTCAGAATATTTTTGTTAAATATTTAAAATGATATGATGAAAAAAACAAATTTAATTACCTCTTGCAGGGACATGACGTGTTTACAGTTCAGCTAATTAACCTAAAGAAAAAAAACATTTAAAGTAACCATGAAACGACTTATCAGTATCATAATATGCTTATCGTTAAATAATTCTCTTCAATTTGGTAAAGGTGACATTAATGACACAGCTATATATTCTAATAACGACACAAACTTACTACTACTTACTACAAAGAAATAGCGACCACCTCAAGCCGATACTGGTTAAGGACTGAATGACTGAATAAAAATAAAATTATCCGTGTGTGCTTGCTGCTTGCTGTGCGGACGAAACGACAGTTGGACAAACTCCACTTGGTTTGGTAAATAATAACTTGGATGTCAAATGACGGCGATCGTCGTCGATGCTGACGTGTACACCGGGCTGCAGATAGTACCTACTGTAGCACATATTTTGTTGCATAAGTAATAAGTATAAATTTAATAAATGTATTATGTATATCACATGACGTATGTAAATATTAAATATGTAGGTAATTAGGGTCATTTTAATGTCAACATGACGGAGTACTAGTTACTTGCCACATCGAATAAAAAAAAGTTTATAAATTAATACTTTTAGTAATAAATAATAATTCTGAACAGAACTGATTGAAAGAGATTTTTTAAGTTTACTTATTTTAAAGTAGGGCTCTAACGTTTTAAAATGGAGAACTACCATAAAAAATATATTTTATATTTATAGACATGTAATATACTTACAAAATCACGGGTCAAAAGTGTTCTTATACCTTTTCTATACCTCTACTTGGATAGAGTCGTTCGAATGGTATAAAAAGGATAGCGCAATTAAAGCCATAAAAAAGAGGATGGGAAGCGTTTGTTACTTCAGGTTAAGTGTAAAAAATCTCGAAGCATATCCTTCTTTCTCATTATTATTGTTAATTTAAAATGTTAAGAAAATAAATGAAATATACTAATAAATCGATAATATATGGCATTATCCCCTGAATTAATAACTTGAATTTTGTAGTCTAGAGTCGTAATTGTAAATTTTTCACACTGCCTCTTACTCGCCTGTAACTACTATAACTGGAACTAAAGACGAGACGTCCCAATTTACATTCATATGTTCCAATAGACATTTTCGTGGTTTCACTTCAAGACCGTTAACAACTTACGGTGGATGGGCCACGTTACGGTGGTAGGGCCACGCAGCAGCCTCGGCTGTTGCACGAATGGGCAGGCTCGTCTGGGTAAGAACCACGATCTCACAGAAGACCGGCGTAAAGTGGAAGTATAATAATTTCGCGTTTCGTCTGGTGAGTGAGGTAGCCGGAGCCCAATTTTCAAAAGGTTGTCAACGCATCTGTATTCACTTAACATCAGGTGAACCACCATCACTTGGCAACTTTTCACATAAAAAAACATATCTGTAGGACAAATGTCATTGATTAGAGCTTTTAAACGAATCTACGCTATGGTATTCTACGTGTAGGTACTTGTTTAGCATATTATTCCAACTATATTGCATTTCGATTATTTTACTTTAGAAAGTAAAATTAAAAGCAAAGAAAGTAATACCTACTTTAAAATAAGTAGATAGGTACTATTGGAACGAAATAGTAAGGATCATTACAGTTGAATAGCAGTTGCAATGTAAATGTATGTTTTTTTCTAAATAAATATCTATTATTGAGTTTCACAATAACTAGAAGTAAATACACATTGTTCATCCTTCTGCAACTATTTCGTAGATAAAGATTTGCTCAAAAGGGTGGTCTTTTTTAGGATACTTTCTCCTTAGAAATTATAAATGAAAACCCCAGATCCCTAGTCAACCTTCTCTATCTTTCCACAACTGTCCTACTGAATAGAAAATACTAACTTTGATAATAATTTGATAATAATAATTTCTGAAAAGGTACAAGAAGGTATTTACGGTATACCTATTCTCATTTGACTCTGTTTTATTTTACCAATTCGTTTTTAGCTAATTTTTCAATTTTTTTTGTATCCTAAAGGATAACTCACTCATGACATCACATCCTTTCATGGGCTAATTTTTTACATGTTTTAAAATCTTACGCCAGACCCATTATATACTGAAATATAATTTATAGAAAACATATATTCAAAGATTCTTGGTTTCTTAAGAGTTCTTTATTAAGAAATAAAAGTACAATCATCAATAATAAATTTAGACAACTTATACCAACCGAGAAAATTAATATTTGAGTATATTACGTCATTTAAAAATTAATTTATTAAATAATGAATACAACTAATGTTCAATGAACATTTACGCGAACTTAGAATGTAACTTTTCGCCCATTTCGATGTATTGCTTCTTAGCTTCATCCTGGGACATGCCTTTGCGTCCGTTCCAAGCGTTCCATTTTGCCTTTTCCACAATACCGCTGGGTTCAGCTGTAGAGATTACAACAAAATACAAAGGATTATCATTACGTTTGAATAGCAATTTTTAAGATATAAACTCACAACTCTTGACATCAATACGATATAAATTGTAGAACTTTACGGCTCTGTAAGTTCGGCAACCATAGCATCGTCAATCTGACATCAAAGTCACCCTTACGCAGTCACACAATCACTAGGTCAGGGTTTTAAGATATTAGTACTAGCATGATAAGTTGTTATTAACTTGGGTATGTCGTCATCTCTTGACAGTAACTCTGTTCTCTTAGAATAACCTTCAGAAGCGACGTAAGATAATTAAGGATATAATAGCCTTGGGAATAGACTCGAACAGAATTCACTACAGTGCCGTTATTCATCGATAATTTTTGGCGTCAAAGCAGCGTCAGCGTTTTTATTTGTATTATACATACTGTTATACATACTCGCAAAATAATAATAAAAAAATATATATATTTATATTTACTTACAAATGTTCACATCTCCGAATACGGCCTGTTTGTAGAGGGAGTAGAGAGCGAGGTTCTCGCTGTCACTTGGCTTAGTCTTCCAGTTCCTGACCTTGTCAGCGACTTTCTTGAATTGCTGTGTAATTAAAAGAAAACATTAAAATTAATCACACCTATACAATCTCCTGTGTCGAATCTTGAGGCTTTGATCTCGTTCGTCTCTCGTCTGGTTTCAAATATCTTTACATTATTATTCATTAAATAGCCATAGAATAAGAAGAAATAGCAAATAAACAAGTTTATGAATCTAAATCAAAATTCCTAAGGAAAAATAGAATTTTCGGTTAAATGTACTTGACTCCGGATTTATATTTATAACTTTAGATTTCGTAATCGATATCTAAGTTTTCGTGAACTGATATATTAAATAAGATTATGATAGATAAAGTTGTAGGTGAATATAAGTAAATATGAAGCAACATGCTATGTAAACTGCTGTGTCCGTAAGACAATAAAAAAGTAGGTATTGTGTCGTTTTTCACACAGTTTACGTCTGACTATAATTACACTATCACTCAATAGCACTAATGAAAATTGTTCTTTTACGGAAAATTCTGCATCTTAAACATACTAATAAATTATTCGATAGTTTTCTTTAAAACATTGACTTCGCAAATTATTACTGAACATTATTTTGCACTATAATGAGGAAACATTGAGAAGTGAAGTCTGTATGATTTGAATATTCCGTCGTAAATTAGAGATGTGTAAACTTTCTTGCTAAATAAAGGATAAATCTCGACCCAAAGTCCACAAAGGTATTTTATTATTAATTAGATTTTATGTTATTTGTCTTAAAATTTTCCGTTGCCATTGACAAAAAAAGGAAAACTTTAAACCAAAATAACTGGTAGGGTAAGTGGTTAGATATATTATTCCTATTCATAAACATCAATGCAGTCAACTGCATTCAAAATCTTATCTCGCCTATGTACTCATTATAATTACAATCATAATATAGTCATCCGAAAGTTAAAACTTGCCAAAACCATCTGATATTTAATGGAACACCTAAAGTCCCGTCAAAGTGTTTGTTCACGCTTCTTTCTTAAGGTTAATCCATCCTCGTTTAAATCACAAATAAATTATTAATTAAAAAAGTAAAGTGTCCTACATGTCCCACTTCTGGGAAAGGCCTTGTCTGTACAATATCAGGGCATAAAACATAGTACACCACGCGCCCCCACTGCGGATTAGCCGACTTCACATATTTTTGAAAAATTTTTTTTCGTTATTGTTTCGAAAATATGCAGGTTTCCTAACAATGTTTTCGCTGAGCACGTGATAATTCAGCACTTAAAGCTATCACAGCTCATAAATATTTATTGGTAATTATAATAAATAATATAAGTAGGTAATAAATTAATATAATAAATATATTATGGACACTAACTATTTTTTAACGTTAACACCAACAACTATAAAAGTGTATACTAGTCTATAGTAGTTTATGGTCTAAATCTGTTTCTTTAACACCTACTTACTTTTGAACGTCCACTGTTTTTTAAAATCTTATCGAAACAGCGATACGATCTGTTGTACCGCGTAAATGAACGGGTTTTAGTTTTGTAGGCCACTGCACCGTAATATGGCAGCTCTTAGGTTGTTAGTAACAGTTCTTTTGTAGGTGAAAAGGAATTTTTGGTAACCGTAAGTTGAGTATTCGGACAGTACTCACCTCGTCGAGGGACATCGTGTATTTATAAATGGGATCTGAAACAAAAATTAAATTTATTTGATTTGTTTATTGATTTGGAACAACCAGTGCTTACAACATATTCGTTATATTAACCTACTGATTTTTCAACAGAATTATCATAATATAGTAATTTCTCCAGTCTTTCCCCTTATTAACAGATGTGGTACTGCCCATGGAGTTCTGCAAATCCAGTGTCGTTTGCCCATTAACCGACAAAACACAAAAGCATAAAAATAAAGACTAAAGTATAAACTGGGTCTGCCGTTCTCCTGTGTGGCTATGCAACCCTTCATTATTTTAAAATAACAGCTAACGTCTATTTATTTACGTTAACAGCCTAATCATAATATGCAAATCAATCAATTAATTAATCAATCAGCCTATTGCTGTCCACTGCTGGAGGTAGGCCTCCCCAAGGGCACGCCACAGTTTTTTTTATGTAAGAAGGCAAGCTAGCTGGCCGTTCGCCTGATTTTAAGTAATAACCGCCGCCCGTGGACCCTTGCAACACCCAATGTAGGGTTACAAATGCATGCCCATCTTTCAATAAAGTGAGCCCCGGTTACCTCATTCACCAGACGAAACGCAGAAGTATCTGTATCTCTGTGAGGTCGCGGTACTTCCCCGGACGGACCTCCGCATTCGTACAACAGAGAAACTACTGCGTGGCCCTACCACAATGAAAGTACTATCTTCCGCTTTCCTCATCCACCCAATAGCAGCGACCTTTATAAGGTCATCGGTCCACCTGGCAGGGCCTAAACTACATTTGCCGGGACGTGGTCTCTATTCGAGAACCCGTCTATGATGGCGTTCATCGGTTCTACGACAGATTTTGCCAGCCTGCTGCCAATTGCCGTGAAAATTATTGTTAGTATATTTATAATAGACGGAGTAATATAATAGTACAATCCATTGTTGCTCCTTCCTTCCTTTTTTCGTTTCATGTGATAATACCAGATAAAAAATTAAATGTAGGAGGTACCTGTCACTTATTTGTACATGGTACATATACATTTTCCATCTGGTATTATCACATGAAAGGTACAAATATATTAAGCTTATTTAAATGTCTATAATAAACGTACCTTTATTTCCTAATTAAACTTCTTTTAATATTTATTTTTACTATGTAACAAATGTTATAACTTTACGATGTGGAAACCATTAACTACAAACATAAGTGCACAAACTTAATAATTGTAACAGTAAACGGGAGTATTGAGCGAAATTACGACATTATAGCGTTCCGTTGTAGGAACTTTCCACGGCCCACCGTGTAAAAACATGCGCAGTGCTAGTCGTATAAAAATTGCTTTATTTTCACGCGCCATTCACGCCGAATACGCAGAAACATAAATTCTTACGAATTCAACCCGAACACCGTTACAATTACAATCCGTGTGACGCGTTATTTTCGATCAATAAAATGCATGCTGTTCGATCCTTAAATTTTATATGGGAACACACAGTTTTGAATTTTAAAAATCCAAAAATTTCCTTACTTAATAAAAATCACAAAAGTTTTAAATATTTCCTTTCCATGAGCTAAAAGTCTATCAAATTATGTACAAAATATTCCCGTAAGAAAATTCCTTCGTTATTAGGAGAAAAGAAAATTTTACAGAAATACCATTATAAATGTAGGAAGTGAGGTCCAATCTTATAAATACATACCAAAATTATAAAGTTGGTATGAATACAGTATAAACAGAAGTTACAGACCCGGTGTCAAATGGCTAAGATCCCACAAGGACTAGACACTTTTTTAGTAACGGTGTAATTAAAATTTGCGGTAAAAACTGTTGATTAATGTAAATATCGCATCCATTTGGGCTGCCAATGCTATTATAGAAATATTAACAGAAATTGCTATTGAAAAAGCAATGTATAAATAATTCACGCCGACCAACACTGTCCATCTATGGTTAATCAAACCTATTAAACAAAGAATTTCATAAAACGAACTGAAAATACCGCATAATCTTTGAAAATGACAACTCGTAGCCGTTTAATTATTGCATTGTAATCGATACATGATTCGTGTGGAAAATTCCAAAATTTTAAGACCTACAAGCCGGTAAAGTTTCGATTAGATTAGATTACACCTATTTCATAAATGCAAACAGTATCGAATGGATTTGTTACAGCCACGTGAAAACTCACTCACCGGGGGGTGGCTTACAAGCGAAATCTCCTGGGGCACTGAAATGCTCCGCTGCGGGTTCCTCGTTAAATTTTCGCGGCTGGCCTCTTATCGTCGTATGCGGATTATGATAGGGATGTCACCGCGATAAAATGTCGTTACCGCTTTGAAATTAGTAAGCGTTAATTTTTAAAGCTAGAACTTTTTTTTTATGTGAAAAGTTGCCAAACGAGCAGACGGTTCACCTGATGTTAGGTGAATACCGCCGCCCATGGACATCTGCTACACCCGAGGGTTTGCAGATGCGTAGACAACCTTTTTGGAAATTGGGCTCCGGCTACCTCACACACCAGACGAAACGCGAAAGTATTACTTCCACTTTAGGTACGCCGGTCTTCTGTGAGGTCGTGGTACTTACCCGGACGAGCCTGCCCATTCGTGCAACAGCCGAGGCTGCTGCGTGGCCCTACCACCGTAATAATAATAATACTACTACGATAGTTGTGTTAAGCAGAGTAGCGACATCTCTCATGGTTATTAGGAATCAAATAATTTGAATGTCATTCAGACTTAAATATATTTTGTAAATAAAAAACCGAGAACATTCCCTGATCTTACAAAAAGACGAGATTTCTTGGGTCGCCTGGTCGGATTTTGTTGTTGATTACGTCTTAAATGAAAGGCACAAATATTTTGGTCGATAGGCATTTAACGGAAGTGAAGTTTGCGAACGGCGCTTTATGGCCCGGTTGGTAATTGAAAGCTGCGTTTGCAACCAGAGGATTGGAATGATTCTCGAATGATGCTCGAATGATTCTCGAATGATTCGAATGCAGAGAAGCACTGTTTTGTTAGTTCCCCGACTTTTTTGCACGCCTTTACGGCATCAAAGAAATGAATTTTTAGAAATATAGACTTAGTTAAGGTCCTTTTAGGGCTTAGGGCATGATCTGTCTTGAGCTTAATCCCAACAAACATCCTGCGAAAAAGAGCTTATTTGTTTGTGTGAAATAAGTAGATTTAAGGATTATTCTTTAAATCAATGGAGTTCATCTCCAATCTGTTAAAAATTATATACTTGTACTGTTTCTTCTAGCTTTTCCTTCTCTTTTCTCTTTTCTATCCCAACAGGATTAAGATTTGACAGCTTGTATTTATAATATATGTACTCAGAATCGTCAAAGTAAAATAAACTTTAATAAACCTTCGAAATTTGTTCCTGAATATTACAGACATACAACCCTATTGTTTACATTAATGGCATACAATATAAAAATGGTATCTATTTATAAAACAGCTATTATCAGTCAGGTAATCAATTATTTTATAAGTCCTGTAATACTGTGTGTTCGATCAAATGAGGTACTTATCTCTGGCTTTCATTTATCTCATGTTTGCTTAATTGCAAAATGCTCTGAAGGAATGTCGAGTATTATGCCATATTTCGTAACACTTGCTATGCTAGTGGTCGTTAGTGGATGTTTTCGTTATGATAAAATATTTGGATGCAGCGTCATGTCCTTAATTTTCTTTGGACACGCAGAGCCATCTTCCTAAAGTTGGAAATGTAGAATCTGAAGTTGCTTGTTTAATCTCCGATCTTCGATTGCGAATTCAAATCTCAGTTCTTCTTTCTGGTCGTGAACGTATAAATAAAAAGTTGTGTTAACTTTATTTAAGAATTGTAGCTGTGGTCTATATAAGTTAACTTTTTACGGTGGTAGGGCTACGCAGCAACCTCGGCTTTTGCAAGAATGGGCAGGCTCGTCAGGGTAAGTACCACGACCTCACAGAAGACCGGCGTAAAGTGGAAGTGTAATACTTTCGTGTTTCGTCTGGTGAGTGAGGTGGCCGGAGCCCAATTTTCAAAAGGTTGTCAACGCATCTGCAACCCTCGGGTTTAGCAGATGTCTATGGGCGGCAGTATTCACTTAACATCATGTGAACCGCCTGCTCGCTTGGCAACTTTTCTCATTAAAAAAAGATAAAAATCTTCAAATCCCAGTAGCCCCAGTATATGGGGATTAATAATTTTGTGAAACGTAAACGAAATTAATAGAATCTGGAACTCTTCTGGTTTTGCGGATGATCATGAGCGGTGATCACCACTTACTTGCAGCTGAATCGCTTTTTCGTTCTCCTCCTTTTAACAGACATACCATTATTTAAGGTAAGTAATTAAAGAAGCCGTTATAGTTCAGTATTCGGGCGTTCGCTTTTAAAATCAATAGTACCTGGAGGACCGAGCTTTTTGTTTTTTTTTTTGGTAAATCGTGTATTTTGGAAATTAAATTTAGATAAAAATTACCGAGTAATGAAATATACATAATATTTTTCGATCTTAACGACGTAATTATAAGAAAACTGTTGTTTTTACTGGTTTAAAGTGGTGTTTTACACAAAAGAAACAACTTTAAAAAAAAGGAAAAGAATAACAAAATAACAAATCGACAAAAAATAAAAAATAAAGAGAGAAATGATCTGGAATCGAAAAAAAAGTTAAAAATACGTGTGTAAATGATCGTGATACGAACCGCGGCCGTCTGTTTTGGGGCCGCCCGATTACCGACCGAGCTATTATAACATTTTTTTTGCGGCGAAATTTACCGTCATATTCGAATGATATTTTTCATTCCCTGAAAACAGGGATAAAAGGACATTTTCTAAAAATGAAACCTGTATATATGAAATGAAAATTGTATATATATATATATATATATATATATATATATATATATATATACAAGAATTGCTCGTTTAAAGGATAAGATACTCCTACAACATGAGTTTAAATGCCGGGGCGAATGAAATTGTTATCAATATCTGCAATTTAAAGTGCATACTTATTACGTGCTCATCGCTGAAGAAAATGCATACATAATTGTAATAGTTTAGAAAATATTTGAATATATCGCATTTGGTTGCTTGGCAGACCATCCCTAATTCCTTCCCATACATATATTAGAATATTACTTTGGCTGGACAGTGAGATCTGCTGTTATTACCCCTGCCACCTCGTATATGTAACCTTTTTTTTATCCAAAAAGTTATCAAACGAGCCGACGGTTCACCTGATGTTTAGTGAATACCGCCGCCCATGGGCATCTGCCACATCCGAGGGTTACAGATGCGTTGACAACCTTTTGAAAATTGGGCTGCGGCTACCTCACTCACCAGACGAAACGCGAAAGTATTTGTCATACTTCCACTTTACGCAGGTCTTCTGTGAGGTCATGGTACTTACCCGGACGGGCCTGCCCATTCGTGCAACAGCCGAGGCTGCTGCGTGGCCCTACCACCATAAAACCTAATGAAATAATGACCAATATAACAAAATATGGTAAGATCTCCAATTACCACCGACCCCTGCCTTATCGACAAGTGTTTTTTTTTTTTCATTTTGAGCGACCGTGTATGTCATCTTAGCGGGATATATTCAGATTTCTTACAATAATCATTTGTAATTTTATTTTTTATTGTAATTTTATTCTAAACTTAAAAATAATCAATCAATATGATTTATTATGAAATGGAAGAAAACTAATTGTATTTCCTTATTAACAAAAATATATAAATACATTAATTTTAACTAATTTCTTGTCGTAAGACTTAAAAATGGTGAAGAACAATAAATAAAGTGACGGAAGTCGTTGTCGTCGACGAATGTACGATAGAAAAAAGCATAATATAAGCATGTATTCTATTAAGTATATAAAACAGCGGTAACAGTTTAAATTTAAAAGATTATTATGATGTTCTAAAATTTTGTATGTACATATACGGAAAAAGTATTTTTAGATCGTCTCTCATAACAGTATGAGTTATACACATTAGTAACTATGCTCTAAGAAAGAAAGAAAGAAAGAAAGAAGAAATATTTATTCGGCGCATTACATTACAGGAAAAAAAAAAGAAATAACATTATAATTGTAAAAATGTATGCACCAAAAAGGTCTCCGCTCAGTATATTGCCCTGGCAAACAATACCACGGCACTGGTTTTCTGCGGATACCTTGTAAGATTGGCGTTCAGCTCCATGCATACAGCCAACAAAAATAACAATGAAATAGACTAAAAACAATAAAAAAGGAATATAAAAGTTAGGAACAATAAAATCAAAAATAAAGTATAACAAAAAAAAATTTATTAACAAAAACTATAACATGTCCTCAACACAATACGAGTGCCTATATACCTATGAGAGCTGAGCTGTCTGGGTGCAACTTTATATATATATAATATATTATAATATATGCAGAAAGCGATCTGATCGGTTTTACTCCGTCTTTTGCAAATGAAGTAGAAACTTTTTGTATTTTGCTTTAAAGATATGTAAAGACGAAGAGTTTCTAATAGGTGGGCCTGCGGGCCTGCCCATTCGTGCAACAGCCGAGGCAGCTGCGTGGCCCTGCCACAGTCAAGTGTGGCATTCTGTATCATTCTAATCTGTCTTAAATATTTATTAATGTTTAGCGAGCATTAAATTATTAAATATTTTATATTTTAATGATCGCTAGGAACGAATGACGTTAAAATCGAAAGGAACTCATTGTGAACAATGTTGAATTTAATTCCTTGCCTCTCCTACTATCGGTGCTGTAGCGATATATCGACGGTTAGTTAGTTCGAGCGTAATAAAAAGTTTGCATTATCTTTTTGCCGTACCGTTTCTTGAATTGATAAGGCTTTATATACGTCGGTTTAGATTGGGACTAGGAACTCGATAAAAACACAGGACTCATGCACCTACACGCGTCTGGTTCCTTGTTTTATTTACCCGGCAATGCCTTTTTTTTACTGGGATAAGATTTTTAGAGCAAGTCAAATAATTAAAAAAAGGAAACACTTCAGATGCGTGATACCAGACTTTCTCGAGTAGGGTCTACTGAATTGAAAACGTCGACATTTCCGCGCGGTTAGGATATCAACCGCTAAGCTTAGCGGGTAGAGCATCTGGACGCGTAAAAAGGCTCAGGTTCGAATCGTGGCACCGGCGGTTCGAATCGTGGCACCGGCGAAAACATTTTTCGGCAATTTATGTACACATTTCACGTTTTATTAAGATAGTTTATTAGAAAGAGCAACAGGTATGAGAACATGGTGTAGTTCAAGTTCTTACAAAAATCTATAATGGTTTTTCTGCAGAAGACATTATTTCGGACTATCGACTCAGGCGTCACTCGGAAGCCGCCGGCATTCCTTGCCAAAAAGCGGTTTAATGCTACCGTAGAGCTTCTAAAATTCAACCGAGTCTATTGGTGTCTGAAATTTTTTTAACTTTTTTTATTACGGTGGCTTTGGCTTTTGTGAAAACTGTTTCTCAAAAGTGGAGCTGTTCAAATCTTAATATACACCACTTTTTATTGATCATTGATTCAAAGATTTAAAAAGTAAATTATATTAACAACATGATTATGTTGAATGATATGGAAATGTAGAAGTGTTCGTCAGCGACTAACGTGCGTTTGGTTCGAGCCTTGGTTTTCTAGATATTTTTGTACGGCGCCGAAGCATGGTCAAAAGGAGCGATAGCAGAGTCGATGCTTTTGAGATGTGCTGTTGGCGGAGAATGCTGCGGATACCGTGGACCGCCATGAGAACAAACAATTCATCCTTAAAGCACTAAACATCTCATCATTATGCGTTCGTCGCGACATGATCGGGAGAGGCTCATTATCTTGGGCCAAATAGGTGGCAAACGTGCTCGGGGCAAGGCGCCTGCAAGATGGTCTGATGCAGTGAAGGGGGCAGTGGGCGGTAGCATGTATCGGGCTGTCCATGAATCGTATGATCGCACTGGTTGGCGATGTATTGTTCGTGGTCACGATCCTCAGCATTGAGGGAAAGAGTAAGAAGAGTTATTGATAACGCGGGCAAATAATTTATTAAAATTAAATCACACTAGCGTGCATAAGTTTAATAGTTGTTCTTTTATTTTTGGGGTGCTTATTACAGAATCACCTTGGTGGCCAACCTATGTTATGCCGCCAATGTATCCTCAGGTTTTGTTTAAGAGCTGTAGGCTGTGGCTTTTTGTATCTTATTTATTAATTTTATTACTTATTAGCCTTCGTTCACGTTACACAAAATAGCCCGTGACATTCAGCAGTTGGCATTAAAACTGACCGGAAAACGGAATGTTTGTATGTTTACATGGCACCCGTAGTTTTTGGTGCTCATTTTATCGACTCGTAATTGGGCCAAGCCACTATTTGACTTGCACTTAAGGCTCTCGCTTTTATCGTGGCTCACACCTGTTTTCGTGTCGAGACCATCATTTTTGCAACATTGACAACATGCCGATTAGATAAAAGATATAAATCTTTCAAATATTAGTTTTAGGTCCTGAGTCATTGGATTTAGTTATTGACATAATAAACTAATATTCCGAAACTGATAGTCAAGTGAAGTTCGATTAATACATGTGTTGTGATTAGGTATAACTAATGAATGTAATAAAGTAATAAATGTAATAGAGATCATAGTTAGCATCAAATGGTTATATTTTTACGATTACTTAGGTTATTTCAGTTGTTTTTAGTCATTATCGAGTTCGTCTGTATGCTCTGAATTTATAGGTACAGATTTTATGATAAAATAACCGTATCGTTCATATTGTTTAAATAAATACGTTGACTTTTTTCTTTAAATATCTTTAAACCAAGAATCAGTTTAATCGAGGTTAACGTCAACTTTTACCAAAATGAAAGGAACGAGAACTTATTCATGTATCACTAAGTTCTTGCCTGCGAATTAACGAGGACTTTTGGCATTAAGTAATAAATTACATTATACATGGTTTAGTTCACGTACCTGTAGGCATTAAATTGATTTCATATCTCAACAAAACTGATTTTTTACTTTTTGTTTACTTGTTTATTTAATATAAAATATATTGGCATCTGTGTGCAAAGCAAACAATTGGGTTCCGTCTGCTGTTTACTCGTGAATTGTCTTTACGTACTTCAATTATCTACTTTTTTCGGTCACCGTTATTAATATCTTTATGAACTTTATTCTGTGGGAATTTTAACAATCGTAATGTTGATGGCGCCAAGCAATGCTTCAAATGCTAAGAAAACAATGTAGAAGAATGTGTTAAGATTTTCGTCGGTGTGGTAATCAGCCGTTTAGCTCAGTGGCTAGAGCGTCAGGCCGCGAAGCCGAAGACGTGGGTTCGATTCCCACAGCGGCGACAATCTTTTCGCACTTTTTCTACATATTTTAATGTTCAATCTTTAGTGCAAATATTAGCACTATAAACAATTTAAATCGTAATGTTTATTTGCCTTCCAGTTCTCTATATAGTACGTACGGGGTCTGGACTCTTCCAGGTGCTAGTGCAGAAGAATAAGGTAAATAAAGTAAAAAAACATGAAACTGGTGTACGAAAGGAATCTGTATTATTCGCTTCGCAGGGTAAAAAGATGCGCGGATTCCATTTTATATTTAGGCGAACATTTTTATTACTTAAAAATGCTTGATACTGTTGTAACGGAGCGTGTATCTTCAAGTGTATCACAGTATTCATTTTTATTACCTACAATAATTTTCATTATTATATTTATCTTTTTTATTAAAACCTTAAAGGAAGGCGAACAAAATAAAAAGCAATCAAATGTTATACAGATTAACATTCTATACTACCCATGTTCTGAGCAATAAAGCAGTGATAGCTCAGAGTCCGGTCGCTCGTTACTAATTTAGTATACCTACATTACATGCTCAACGGTGAAGGAAAACATCGTGAAGAAAACAACATAATTTCTAAATAATAACGAGAAAAAAATCTATGATATGTGATGTCTCACAAGAACGAAGCGATTGGCATCGTCTTTTATCATCCGTACGGCTAAGGAATAGAACAATCTGCCGTCGTAGGTCTTTCCGTCCGATTATAACGTAGGCTTCTTCAAGGCAAGAGTGAATGGGAATTACTGAGCTAGCGCTTACCATCAACGGCTGCATCACCACTTACCACCAGATGGCATGACGCTAGTCAGTTCCATATAAAAAAAAGTCTGCTAAACCGCAGTTTAGTCGCATTGTGAACTACGCCATCTGTTAATGATAAGTGCCGAATTATCAAGTGATAAACGTTGCAAGGAAAATATCATGACGGAATCTGCATATTTTCGTAAAAAAAGATATGTGAAATCTGCCCATCCGCAGTCGGGTCGCGTGGCCGGCTAAGCGATAATATCCTCTGTACCTCGGAATGGATAAAATCGTCTCAGGCGATCGTCAATAACTTAATTCTGATCACAAAAAGAGCTCATGGCATCTTAAACTATTGCAATGTGTGTTAATGCGCTTGGAATTGATTTTAACAATAACAGGATCCTAATAAGACTTATCAGGCTTATCTTATTATTTAAGGTTTATCGCTCCTATATAAGACAAACTAAAGAGAAGCAATAACATCCCGAGTAAATGAACACGTAGGTACCTGACGTGAAGCAGCGAGTCGATTATAAAAACGACTTTCAAAAAATAATTCGTCTAATTTTTTTATTGTTCGTAACTCGTAACCTCAAACTCCGTCATTTATAAAACGATTTTGAAAATTATTTTTGCAATGGGTTCGATTAAGCGCCCAGTGGTCCTATATTAATTTCATTGGTACTGGACCTTAGAATCCAGAGACAAATCAGGGAAATATCAGAACCAATGAGAAAATGTATGGTGAGTGATATATTTGAAGACGAAATTTTCGACATTATTCGATATGTCATGACGGTCACATAGAAAAATTATCGTTACACTATAGTATAGTATAGTACAATCGATAATGTGTAAGCTGATAAGTAATAAGTGGTCATTGTAATGACCTCCAGTAAATGTGTAGTGTTTATAAAAGGGTATTGGAAAATTTATAATTGATTAAAACAAGACCGTGTAACGTATGTTGAACAAATATGGACAGTAACGCCCGGTTTCTGAAACACTGATTATCGTAATTGTCAAACTCTCTGAATCGTCCAGAATGATTTTCTTAATGATCAGAATGATTAATTTAAAGAGTTTAAACATCCTTTTGGCATTCAAATATGTAGAAAAAGTGCGAAAAGATTGTCGCCGCTGTGGGAATCGAACCCACGTCTTCGGCATTCGCGGCCTGACGCTCTAGCCACTGAGCTAAACGGCTGATGACCACACCGACGAAAATCTTAACGCATTCCTCTACATTGTTTTCTTAGCATTTGAAGCAATGCTTGGCGCCATCTATTGTTATTCCACATATTTGAATGTTCAATCTTAAGTGCAAAGATTAGCACTATAAACAATTTAAATTTCTAAAAATCCTTTTGGCAACTCAAATGACATTTGAAAAGCCATTTGACAGCTGATTAGTTAACATTTTCGGTGATCCGTGTTTCAGAAACCGGGCGTAAGGGCGCTGAGCTGTATAATTTCTGACCGACATGTATAGCTTGGCTTATCATCGTAAATTAATCGTAAATAATATTAATAATGGACTGGTTTTAGCGGATCTTTTTGCCGGTGTCAAATTTACTGATGGCGTTATATGGCGCCAAGCCAACGTCACTTCGTGCAACAAAGATAATACATAAATATATACTGGAAACTGGTGCAACATAAACTGTAGCATAATGCCCGATTAGATATCTCTTTGATTAAATAGAGGACTGTACGAGTAATAGATGACTAAAATGATATTTTTTCAATTGTTAATTCAAAAAATAATATTTTATGACTTCTTAATTTTTCATAACTGTATTAAAAAAACAGATCAATCCTGTACCTGTCCGCAAGTTACGCACTGGATTGTTCTATCTTTAGCGGATGATGGTGTAAATTAAATGCCCAGATACTTAATAAATTAATATAATTCAAAAAAGGATGTGAATTGTACAATGATCGTAGGACAAGTGACATGAGTAGACAGATTTGTATGAAGAATCTTCAAGCGCTTGATGCGGGTGACGGCAATGTTCCCGCGGTGGTGTTTTGACGTAATATTTGCGCAGGCGTTAAGTCTGAACAGGATAGATAAGGATGGTGCTTTGGATACCTCACTCATCAGACGAAGAGCAGAAATATAGATGCTTCGACTACATACTGGCGTTGTAAGGCTTTGATACCAGTTACGTCCAGTCGAGATCAAGATAACGTGAACCAAATACTTTTCCAGTCTACCAATAATAAAACAAAAAAGACGAGTGTTAAGGGAGTTAAAAAACGACTAAACTCATGTAGAATCCAACTTGTTTCGGACGTATCTTGCATTGCAAGACGGGGCGCCACTGCGATCTCTTCCTACTCACCCTGATGAAGGACCGAAACTAGTCTGTACATACACCGATTCTACGTGAGTATAGCCGTTTTATTATTGCGTTTATAACGGCTCACGAAAGTTTTAATAAGAAGCGTATCGATGATTTCTATAAAGTAAAATACGTACTTAAGAGTATTTTCGAAGGCCAGAACCCATGAACTGAATTTCAGTAGACTGCTAGTGATGAATAGCAAGAATAGAACAAGCCTGTCGAATTTTAGGTGAAGAATTAAAACGACAATTCATTCATCAGTTAAAACATCTTTATTGCTGTTATCCGTTCGCCTCAGTCGAAATCGGTGGCGGGTAGTAGCCTGTCGTAGGGCACCATCATTGGGTCGGTTGGTGGTATCTGGACGGTAGCGGCGAGCGCTGGTGACCTGCGGCCGTCCTTGAGGAGCAGCACCTTGAGGAGGCAGCGCTCCCCCCCGCGGCCCGTGACGCCGCGGAGGAGCACCTCGGGGCTGATCTCATCCCCGAACAATTCCTCCACCCTCGTGCGCAGCTGTACACGGCTGTTCGGTGGCAGAAGCGGCACCTGCCGATGGCCCGTTTTGGTAAAACCACACGGCTATGTTGCTGGTTAAGTCAAGATGGTCAAAGTAAGACAGCCTATAAATGTCCCACTGCTGGGCGAACACCTACTCTGTACAGAGGATATCAGGACATAGGCATCCACCACGAAACCCCACTGCTGATTAACTTCACACATCTTCGAAATATTTTTTTTGTCATTATTTCGAAGACATTAAATGCAATTTATAACGGTTTATCTAAATAACTTGGAGTTATTGGTAAATATCAAAAAGTGGTTATTGGTTGCCATGGTAATGCCGTGACGTTGGTTGCGAAGCCGAGCATTACGAATTTGGTTGCTTCATCATTTCGCTTTTTGGCTGTCGGTGTGCGCGGGCATCGTAATACATATAGAAGTATAACTTCAAAAAATTGTGCTAACTGACACTCGGGAATTGTTACCTTCAAGTACGGTCTGGAGATCTTGTAGTTTGTGTGTGCATTAAAAAGGAGAGCGAGACCAATGACAGCTTTGTCACTGGACGAGTTCTCGACGACGAGCGTGACTCGAAACACCGGGCCCAAGCCCTCCACCTGGCGACAAAATGAAAACATCACACACAAAAAGATCATGACATTAAAAAAAACATCCCGCCATTTTTGATTTCTTGATTTTACGCGATCATTATACATATTAAACGAGACTACTTTACAGATTTTATCGCGTTTTAATTGTAGTTTTTAATTCCAGACGTTTCGAACCCTTTCCAGCGTTCATGGTCACGGGACGGACTCTTTAGATCCAACTTCTGTAAGCATTCGAATACAAAGAAAGAAACCACCAAAGCATCGCCAATTTGGTTTTGCTTTGTGTTCTTTTATGTGAGAAGGTGGCAGACGGGCTGTCGGTTTGCCCTGACGTTAAGTGGTAACCGCCGCCCATTGACTTGATTAGCCACACCCGTAGGGTTGCAGATGCGTTGCAACCTTTTAATAAAGCGGGCCCCGGCTACCTCACTCACCAGACGAAACGCAGAAGCATAACACATCCACTTCACGCCGGCCTTCTGCGAGGTCGTTACCAGGACGGACTTGCCCATCCGTGCAACATCGAAAACTGTTGCGTGGCCCAACCACAGTTTTATTTGTGTAAAGCGAATGAATAAATACAACACCTGACCGTTCTGATCGCATTTATATCTGTCGGTCACAAAATACCATGCAGTTGCATCTCACATGCCTTACGCCTAACTAACACATACTACAATAGACCTGATATAATTTAATAGAAAAACACCAAAGCATGGGGTTGCAGTAAAAAAAAAATACGTTTACTGTGCAAAGGCCTCCTCTGTTAGGACAGAGGTTATCAGGGCATAGTCCACCACGCGGCCCCACTGCGGATTGGCGGACTTCGCTTATCTTCGAAATATTTTTTTTTTTGTTATTTCTAAAATATACAGATTACCTCACGATGTTTTCCTTCGGCGTGGAGCAAGTGATAAGTGAGAGTTTAAAATTAACAATTACATTGGTACTCTCACCGGGGATGGAACCTAGGTTGCTCGAGTATGTTGAATTAAAGGCGAGCGCCCGAACACGTCGCTATCACGGCACTTTGAGCACATTTTTATAGTTTATACTGCGCAAAAAGCACTCACTGCAAAGAGATATCACTCTAGGGAGACTTACGTTCTTTTTATGTTACATTTGTAAATAAATTTTTAAATGTTAAGAATATTTTTTTTTATATTTTAGAACACATTTTTACACAACATTCTCTAGTTCCAAACCAAGCAAAGCTTGTACTATGGGTACTAGAAAACTGATAAACATACTTATACATACTTTTCTTTTGTAAATAAATACATATTATACATATATTAACACCCAGACACTAGAAAAATACTATGTTCATCACACAATATTTATCCAGTTGTGGGGATCGAACCCACACTCTCTGGCGCAGGAGGCAGGTACACTACCCTAATTTAATATTCCTATTCCTTGGCCAACACAAATTTATAAGTAAACAAAAAGTTTATAGATTTGGACTACACAAAAATTATTTAAGAAACGAAATAAGACCTGTCCCAATTTATTTACTTTGCGAATGGACACTGAAATAAGTGTAACTTCGAGAAAACACCCACCTCGGCCGAGAGCCGTACTGGTTCCAGGGCACCTGTCGCCACGGAGTTGTCGCCGCTGGAGTGAGCGGCTAGAAGAACGCGCGCGGATTCCAGACGTAGGCGGCTCAGCTCCAGCTGGAAGGCCTGGTGCATGGCTGTGGGGACGAGGGTTCGAGCACTTAGCACTGGAACCTTGACGTCAGAGCACTTAGCACTGGAACCTTGACGTCAGAGCACTTAGCGCTGGAACCTTGACGTCAGAGCACTTAGCACTGGAACCTTGACGTCAGAGCACTTAGCACTGGAACCTTGACGTCAGAGCACTTAGCACTGGAACCTTGACGTCAGAGCACTTAGCGCTGGAACCTTGACGTCAGAGCACTTAGCACTGGAATGCATTACAGGATTCCATCGATGTTATAGCTTATAGGATTTACTCCACAACTGTTAATACGCTACAAGCAGATATATTGCATAAGCCTAACACTGTATATTTTTTTCTTTGTAATTATGCTCAATGTAGATTATAGTGCGTTTTATATTGTTCGGTTAATATTCAGTTAAAACTGTATATGTTTCATAAATCGTGCGATGTGCAATATAATTTACGCAAGATATGCAATCAGACGCTTCTAGAACATGGCATGTGGCGCTGACCGACGGCGTTCTCGCGCTCCCTGGCCGACTGCTCCAGGAACAGCTTGGACCTCTTGGGCAGCAGCCAGGGCTGAGGGGGCGGAGCCCCGGCCGCCGCCACGCCGCCCGCCGCCGCCAGGAACTCCGCCGTGCGTTTCAATATCTTCAACGCCAAGCCGCCGCCTGTAATAGGCCAGGGTTTGACAGTCATCATAAAAGAGAGGAAAACTAATAATTCACATATTATGTGTAAATAAAATTGTCGAAAATTCTTCACCGCGATAAATCAATACTTTTTGGTGACGGCGTCCATCAGGTTCCTCAAGTATATTAAATTAAAGGCAAGCGCCCGGACACTGAGCTATAACGGCACGGTTGATACCTTTACCGCGAAAAATATCAACATTTTAGGAAATCATAGGTAACATTCCATGGTACTACTAGTAAGAAAAGATTGTGTGATAAGTTTCGTGTAACTATTTCAATATGTAAAGGATCAAAAAAAAACAGTTAAAATGCTTGAATATGTCGATTAGTTAGTTACTGTTAGTTATTATGATGAAAACATTCTCTTCCTGACCCAGCTGGCCAAACTTCACCGCTGAAACCACTTCTGAAACAGATTACAAATTTTATGATTAGATAAGAGTTGTTTCACTAAATATATATCATTATCAAACCAGTCATAAAATGAAATGATGATGTAATATGACAAATCAGGCAATATACCCTTTACAAACATGGTATCCCTCAGAGAATTTCCATCGTACAAATGCAGATGTCCAGATGCCAATGCGACTGCTGTCAATGTGATCCCTAAATGCATTATCGGCACCAAAGTCACAGCGATGGGTCGGTGCTCCAAATTTAGGGACCACAATTTTTTTCCCTTGCAAAGAAAGGAAGTTTACAAGTAATTTTAAGGAAATAAAATAAAATGTATACAAACTTAGCTCTAAACAAATTTTAAAGCAGACTTATCACTGAAATCACACTGGGAATCTCACTTGTCACTCAAAAAAAAACATCTTTGTATATAGACGGAATATTAGTCCAGAAAAATTAGGGCAAATATGAACAAAAAAAGTTATGTCAGTTATTAAAACATTAGTCAGAACCTGTCCATTCATCATAGGACCTCTATGCTTTTGCCTTTATAAATTTTTATTTATAAACAAACCTTTTTACTGTAACACGAGAATTTCTTGTCACAGCATATAACAAATATGCTATTGTCAATAGTGGAGACTTCAATCGCTATGATGTGTTCATCAGTGTTGAATAACAATTGACCTTCTTTCCAGTCCCGTTTCAATAGGCATACCGATTTCTCTCTGCAATATTTAAATGAGATGAAAGGGTGTTTTAAAAATTACATTTTCACCTCCTCTTATATAACAATAAAATTAGAAAACATTAGGAATCCATAGTTAAAAGATAAAGCAACTACTTGGGTGTCAAACAAATGTTTATTGTACAAATGTGTCAATACGCACTGATTGCAGAAACTTTTTTGTGAAAATAATTGCAGAATAAAGCAAATGTGTAGAGTATAAATGACAGGGGTGGCCAAGTTGATCATGATCGACCTGTGGATAGCTTGTGATGTCTTAAAACCGATTAGACAAAATTTAGCAATCATTTGTGATACAGTGTTTTTGACGACCCCTGTTATAAAGGACCTATTTCCAAACCTGGTAGCGATAGTAATTCTGTAGTCAACACTGTACAATCCAGTTGCAACCATTTGATAGGGTGTCTTCTTAATGGCACATAACTTAGCCTGTGCATTATTAAAACTTTAGTTTCTTGTATTTCTAAGGTCTTTTATTGAATGTGTTACTTGTATTTCTAAAGATCTTTAATTGAATTTGTTGTTTGAAGAAACAGGGTGTCTAAAGATGTACTTGCTATATGATAGACTAATTAAATTATATAATTAAAGAAATATTGCCATTTTAGACATGTAACATTTTTGTTGCCTTATTAAAATTAATTGAAATAATTATTTAGCATTTATTAAAAAAATAAAAACTTACTATATTTGCAGTTGTAAATGTAGCTGGTTCTAAAATAATAACTTCTCCTTCTTCGGTCCCAACAACTAGACAACTTATTGCATATTTATCCACCGAATGTATTTTTAATGTGGTTATACAAGCAATCTCAACATTCTTACAACCCGGTAGCCCGGTCATCTGTTCTACATACTCCAGCCTTTGCTCAGCATCCAATATTAAGAAATGTTGTGATTGGCTGCTTAGAACCTTCTGTGGTATTGTCTGCAGACTTGCTGTCAGACCTGTGAGGGACTTATTATTTTGATTAATGGGGTCCATTAACTGGAATTCAGTAATGTACATGTTAATTTTAAAATGGCAATGATGAACTTTTCATTTTTTTTCTTTTTTCAAAAATAAACATTGCCTGTACTGTAGGATAACATTATCCTGTGTTAAACATATAAGAAATATACTTATAGTTTTAAAATATATAAAAACAGTTAAAAGTACCTGTTTCCATATTTCCAATTCACATGTACTTAACTCAACTGAAGGCAAATAATACTTGAAAAATAATTTCAGATTTCTGTATATATAAATGCAAGAACTAGTAGCAACAGCAACAACGGGGAATGCACGAGGTGTTGTTTCACTTGTATAGAACCCCACTATACCCAGTGGTAGATCAGGGAGCAACAAGTCTGCTATCTGCATTGCACCTTTAGAACACCTGTTGATTAAAACATTAATTTTTATAATTCATCATATTATTTTATAACTATACATATGAATAATGGTTTTTATCAAGGCTTTTGTGTACTACAAAAGCCTTGATAGAAACTGTTTTGCACTAATTTATAAAAGCCTATTGAAATTTCAATTAACTATCATTGAAACTGCCTTTTGGAAAAGGTTTATGGAAAGTAGGTTTATGGAAAGTATGTTGAAGGAAATGAAGAAAACATGAAAGGAAATGTTACAGAACTATAAACTTAAGAGGTATAAACAATAAGGCGGTCTTATCGCTAAGGAGCGATCTCTTCCAGACAACCTTGTGGTTAAAAATATTTAATTTGGACAATGGTAGGTGGTGTAAATGATAAACTTACATACTAATATTTAAATAAACTAAACGAATATGTTGTATTTTTGTATAATAATAATATACTAATATATACGAAATAAGATAAGAAGAATAGACATACATAAATCTAAACATATACTGTACAATAACTTACAAAAATATATATAGGAAGAAAAGAATAAAAAATAAATATACAAATGTTGTTGGTGATAATCAGCTTGAACACAGTGACAGATAATAATTTTTAACGTCAGTTTTAAACTTGCGTAACGTTTTTGAGCGCTGGATGTGTGGAGGAAGCGCGTTCCATAGGCAAATGGCTTTGACCGTAAAAGAGTTCTTAAAATAATTGGTCCGGAAAGTATGCGGGGTGATAATGAGTTCACTGGCTGATCGCAGATTTCTGGTCTGTCATGACCAAGAAATTTAAACTGTTCCTTCAAATAACTCGGAGTCATAGGATTGAACAAAACACAGTACAGAAGAGAAACAATATGCAGATTCCGCCGAAGGCGGATGGGTAACCACTTGAGCTTTGTACGATATTCGGAGACATGGTCATACTTGCGTAGACGGAAAATAAATCTGATAGCTAAGTTTTGAATTCGCTCAAGCTTGTTAAGTTGGTCCTCGGTTTATCGTTTATTGCTCACTTTCCATCAAGAAATTATCAGTTTTAGTTTCGGATTCTATATAAAGTTATTAATATTAATCAATTCTGGTATTTACGGTATTTAAGCTATTTTATTTCTAATTACCTTCAACTTAGGTCCCTCTTCATCTTTCCCCAAATCGCCAACAAGTAATTTATATTCATTATCATTTTGGAGATCAACCAATGCCAAGTTAGAAGGTAATGAATTAAGATCAATTTCATCTGTTGCAACTTCTACATCTAACCAACGGCTTGCGACACTCATTGCTAAGAATAATTAACAAATAAGTTATATATTTTTGGAGTGTAGTAATGAGGCACTTCGCACTTCTTGAGGCACTTCGCACTTCTTATTCATAACCAATAAACAAACAACCATTTATTTATAAATGAACTAAGATATCATATATATCAGATTTTCAAACTTTATTGACATATTCAGGTTATGTATCGTTTTGACACCCGTTCCCATAGCAACCAGCATACCATAGATAATAAATATATACTGAAAGTTTATTAATAATTGTATTTACAATCTTTATTGATCTAATATTTACAAGATTAAATCTATCTAAAATAACATATTATCTAATAAATCTAATCCACACGGTATGGTGCCAAGAACGCTAGCTGCATTTCCTCGCTGAATAGTTATGCTTAACCTTTGAGCCAGAAAAGAACCAGCTCTTTTGTCACTGTTAATATATAACATATATACTTTCAGTATGTATGTTATATATTATCTGCACTGCAGCGTACAGATGGTAATCGTTAGTGATTACATTTTTTTGTTATATGTTATCCGCTTAAAAGAGATAGATATTCAGAATTTTCATTTTACCCATGGATTATGCACGTAAAGAGTTATTTCTGTACCGTAATAAAAGAAAAAGTAACTGAAAATTTTATCCCCTGTCTTGTTTGTTGCGGGATCGGCTGAGCGACTGTATGCAATCTATTAATTTACCGACGTACCTACAATTATTTATATTATAAGTCCGCAAAGATATACTGGTATGAAATATTTATTTCCTAGCATAATCACGTAAAGCATAAAACCTACGGCAATAGAGTGGCAATGTATAATTAAGGACAAAAAAGACTCGTATATTATCACTACAATTGTACAATGCTATGTTCATAATTTAGAAATGATTGTAATAAAAACTTTGTTAGTAAAAATAGGTACTGTTACTTTTAACGAACCGAGTGCCGCTTAGAGTATTTTCTTGTAAAATCGGTTGTTGCATTAATCTTGTGGAATAGTCGTATTCTGATATTGTCATATAGCGCCATCTCACCAAGTTTTCGGGCACCAGTAGGCTCAAATTAAAGTACAACACTGCAAGTACTTTAAAAACTTAAGAGATGGCGCTCTACATTCATATTGTTATTTTTTCTTTTTCAGGGGCATTTACTTTACGTAGATACGTCGAGTTGACTAATGACTTAAAATATACATTTTCCCTCCTGCGCCGAGAACGCGTTAAAATCATGAATTTAAGAAATTATCAATCCCATTTTTGATTCCCAACATATGTGTTTCCTCATTAGAAAATTATGGTGTATTTGTTTGTTCTTATCGGCGAATTGTTTACACTTAGCGACATGAAGTTTTCTTAAAATTTTGTTTTTCAATTATTCCTTTGTGAACATTCACCTCTGCCTAGGTTCAATGGATTTAGTTGGCATCGGGCTGCACGGTCGCGTAACTGTACCCCTAATCGATTGCGCCTATTCAACTATAATCGATCAATTTACGCTATAGAATTTTTAAATAGTCTTGATTGGTAGATGTGGCTGAGGGGATCATTTTCAAACCGAAAAGACACTTAAGGACTGATAAGAAAACTATTTATTTGAACTTAAACATTTTGAACTTATTTTAGACCAAACGTAATGATTATGAAATTTATGTGAAATACAAGAGTTATGTTAGATAGATAGACATGTTACTTCTCCAAGAGACATTTACGGAATTAATCAAATATGACACAATTCAGTCTGAACAAATAAAACTAATATTCTAAATTTAATTTAAAGTAATTCAAACATAATACATAAACCAAGAAGACCAGAGTTGATGTCAAAAGAGTATGTATAATCTGAGATTACCAATCAACAAATAGAACTTTTTTTTTTCTAATTGAACCGCCAACCGAAAACCAGCGTATTTTTCCTTCCTTGGATTCGTTTCCTTTTTTATTTCAGTCTTTATTTACAATATTCGGATTCGGAATAAGTTGCTCAACACGATTGACCGGCGAAATTTCAGATGAACTGAGTTTTCCTTATGTTTTTTTACAATTAAACACTCAACATACATATATCTTGATCCCAAATTTTTAGCTCGGAATCCAGTTACTTTGAATTGTATATGTATATGGATTATATCATTGATAAGGCGACAATCTTTTCGTACTTTTTCTACATGTTTTAATGTTCAATCTTAAGTGCAGAGATTAGCACTATAAAAAACTTAAAAAAATTGCAATGTAATGGCGACATATCTCGTTCGAGTTATCGTTGAAAAACGATATTCAAAATTGTTTGTATGCTGGAAGGGATATAACAATAGATGCGCCAAGTATTGCTTCAAATGTTAAATAACAATGTAGAAAGAAGGCGTTAAGATTTTAGTCGCTGTGGCTATCAGCCGTTAAGCTCAGTGGCTAGAGCGTCAGGCCGCGAATGCCGAAGACGTAGGTTCGATTCCTACAGCGGCGACTATCTTTTCGTACTTTTTCTACAATGCTCAATAATTAACAGGATTAGCACTATAAAAAAACTTTTCGTAATGTTTATTGAATGTTCAATCTTAAGTGCAGAGATTAGCACTATAAAAAACTTTTAAAAAATATCCTAATGTAAGGACAATGTTTCTAAAAATGTACCTATAATTTTGGTGCTATGATTGTGGTAGTTTTTCTTTAGTTAAATATCTGAATACTAGTTCTGATATATTTTACACCAGAATCTTAATGTCAATGGCCATGTTCTCATTTTATTTAAATCTATCATTGAAACTCTCACTATTAAAATCAATTTCAATCTCAATTAATTTTGATAAAAACCGTAATTTAGTTTGATTTGACTGTAAATCTTTATGGATATTTACCTCAGTAATTTTCTCACAATTACATATACTATCTAAAAACAAAGAAAACACCTTGATGAGATTTCGTTAATTAATCATTTGAATTTTATAACATAGTTAAATTAGCATTATACTCGTATACTAACTGTGATGAGACTGGGAAGCAATGATCTCAAAATTTCGAGGTCAACTATCAATGTTGTAGTGATCACTTTTAGAATATAATTAATTATCTATGGAAAATTAAGAAGAACGAGCTTTATGAGGCCGTGGTAGTTCTGCTTCCTGTCCATTCGTGCAACTGCAGAAACTTATCTATGGACCTACCATACTTAAAAGTAGTTCATTGTTAAAAAATTCAATATTACTAATCACGTATAAGTTGGCAATAGTTATCTTTCTTTTCCTATGTGATGTATGGAAGCTTATCTCATATTCGGGCGTTTGAATGGCCGTATTTTCTTATTGACCGACTTCAGAAGGTTTTAGGTGGGTACGTTAAAGGTTACCTCATAACTTTCGACTGAGCGAATCGCCTTTGATGATTATTTTTATTTGAAAGCTGATGCTTTTCATGTGGTCCCATATTATTTTCATTGGTAATGGATCTTTGGCTTCCGAGATACTAAGGGAACTCCTGAAAATCAATTATAAAATGAAAACAGAGCGAGATATTTGAAGTCGGCTTTGTTTTTCGTTAGTAAAAATGTATAACGTTTCCAACACAGCTGCTCGCAATAAGCTACGAGTATACAGCGCCAGCAAAATGTTTATCATGCGCTAATGTATCTTAAATAAATACTTGTATTAGTATACATTCCATTTAATTACAATTACCCTTATATAGGGGTAGTGTGACTACTTGAAGACGACAGCAC